GTGGTAAAGAGATTTCAGTCCAGGACAAGTGTACAAGCCTGAAGGCAAGGCTGGAGTTCAGCTGGAAGACGAGAATTAAATATGGGAATCCTTCTACTGCAAACAAGCAGCTCATTCAACTGCATGCACTGCAAACTGTTTAGCAGCCAAAGGATGTTCCGTTCTGTGCAGCAAGTTCAGTGGTCCATGTGTGCTGGCAAACAGTACAGTCTGGTCCCACACCTCTACTGCCACAGCCAGCATCTCAGACAGCCCAAGACACACCTCCAGTCTACCGATTGGACAGTGAATGAGCAGCAGCACACTGATGACCTCATCTCTCTGCTCTCTCTTCCTGTCAACATATACGCATTGCAGCAGAGCTGGACTGGCGCCTTGAGCTGACCCTCCCCGAGACCAGTCTGTGTGCTGGGAAGTACCAGACACTCCAGTACTTCCACAAGCTGCATTTAAAATACATTTAATGATTTCTAAGGAATACAAAACCACATTAGCTGTTTCTTTAATATCCGCCTGGAGAGAAGCTTTAAATCTGAACTCCACCATTGCAGCTAAAATATGTATGAGGAGGTCAAGGATCTGGCAGCGCTGTCTGGCAGGATTGTCTGGATCACTTAGAAGGCTACACAGAATTACAACTTCTTTGGCAGATAAAACATCTCCTATAAAAGAAGATTTAATCACGTATTTATCTTTCTTCCTGGTGCTCAGCTGTAAAACTGGACTTTACCAGCATAAATAGAATATTGGAATAAGGAGTGTGCATTAAAATAATTACTTTTATTTTTTATATTATTTTTGCCAGCACTGGATACATACACATGGAGGAGGAGGATGCACATGGAGGAGGATGCTTTAAGAACAAAAATAGGTTATTTTAAAGTCTTTTGTATATAGAATTATTTCTCGGTTTGCCATGGCAACCAGAGTTTTTTCTTTTTTACATTATTTTACAGTAAGTTGTTAAAGGGGATTTTGAAGAACAAAAAAATAAAGAATTGTGGTTAGGTTCACCATACATGCTACAATCTTACCACAAAATCTTACAATTTTAGCATTACCTAAACCAGGGCTTGACACATTTTCTGTGAATCTAGGAGCCAGCTGAAAAAGTTAGGAGCCAGGTTTTCTTGTTTAAATGCGTACGTTCACGGGGTGGGGGACTTTAATTATTATTTGTTTTTGTTTTTTTCATTTTAGTTTATTTAACTTTTTTTTTTTACTTTATTGCTAATCCCGCAGGGGGGCTCACAAGCCCCCTATGTAATAGCACTTTGGAGATGACAGGATCTCTTAAAGGTGACCCAGGTGACTGGATGTAAACACAGCAGGCAGTGGCTGGGAGCATTTCAATTTGCAATGGCAGGCTGGCTATTGCACCCGCCCACTCTCAGCTGCTGATTCCTTTAGGTCCTCCTCTGATGATTGACAGCAGGCAGTGGACAAGTGCAATAGCTACCCTGCTATTGGCTAGTGCAATTTAACCACCTCCCGTCCAGAGGCCGTACATAAACTGCCGGACAGGAGCCTTGTAGATGCGGGTGGGAGTTTTAAAACGTCCCTCCCCACATGCACGAGTGGGAAAACTGTGTGAAATGTTAACAGCCGGCGATGGCTGTTTAAATACAAGCATTCAGGCAACCATAGAGCCACCCGATTGCTTGTATTTTGCGCACGGGTGTGCGCCCTTCACTCTGACACCGCCGGTCCCAAGCTCCGCTGTGCCTGATGCAGGCCAGGACCGACAGCGGCTCTGTGACCAGAGATCAGAGGGAGCTCAGCACACGATCTCCCTCTGATCTCCTATATGGTGTCAGAATGCAGGAAGTGATGTATAATAATTCAATACTTAAAAGTATTAAAAGGAGAACTATGAGGTGAGTGCTTTTCACTCACCTCATAGTTCTAGCCGACCTGTGACAATGAGACTGTCACAGGTCGGCTCAGTAGATCCGGAGGTGAGCGAACACATACCGGGTTCGCTCGCCTCTCGATCCTGTCACGGCTCTCTGTCGTGACAGGAGGAGGGGCTGGATTCCCCTCTCCCCGCGCTGACTGGCGGAACGGACGGGGGAGGGTACTGCTGGCCTTGCCTCTAGATAGGCAGAACCAGCTGTCACTCACGCAGCTGGGCGGATCCCGTCATCTATGGCGTGATCCGCTCCGTCGTCTCAGTATATGGCGAGCTGTAGCTCGCGGTATACTGAGCTTTGGGTGACGGGAGGACGCTAGTTTGTGTCCTCCCATTACCCTAAGGAGAACTATGGGGAAAAACACTGACCCCATAGTTCTCCTTTAAACTCTCAATCTTCTTCCCAATAATGAATCCAGATCAAACCAACATACAATGCCCAGCAAAGTTTTGCTTGACATTTTGCCCAAACACTTAAGAGTCATCTTGTAGTTTTCTGCAGGCAGCCTGTAGTGGGTGAGCGTGCTGGATCCATCCCACAGCTCTGTTCTCTACATTGGTTATATGCAGGAGATTGATGATGTCACCACTACTTGTAAAAAAAAGGTAATAACTGGGATTTTAGAGCACAGAAGGTGAATGTATATCTTTGATGGCTATTGAGGATTATAATTAAAATGAATGTTCTGGAGCCCGGAGTTCAGCTTTGAAGAAAAAAAAAAGCAAGAGATACACTCGACTATTAAATTGTTGTTCAGTCTTGCCAAATATAGCTGGAAATAAATCAATGAACACAAAGTTCTTCTATCGGCCACACGGCAATATAAAACTATTTTCCCAAGTCGTCTTCCAGGGCAGCAGGGATTCAGGTGCCGCCCTAGAAGATTCCTGGAAAAGAAGTTGCCAGATACCTAACATGCTTTTTTTTAAATGACAAAAACAACTTAACAGATCAAGTGACCCTTCAACCACACTTAATGTTTCGGTATCGCCGTACCATCAGGCGATTGGACACTGACCAGGGCTGTGACCTCATAACCCCTCCCACTCCAGGATATTGTGTTTTTAAGCAAGCAATGGAGGACATAGAAGGGAGGGTCCTGTGTCCCGTACTCCAGGAAACCGATTGTACTAGCCAGTCAAAAGCCCTATTTTCCTGATGGTACCGAGCAGGACACAGGCAATTCATAGACGACTCGGACACCCCAGAGCTAAACTTTCATGTGTTTATGACACTTCGGCGTACAGGACACAGGCAGCCATGTGCCCTCAATGGACATACATGTGGAAGCTGAAACGGAGATGGAGGAATAGAAGAAAATCAGAAGGTTTTATATGGACATTTACAGGTGAAACTCGAATAATTAGAATATCGTGCAAAGTTCATTTATTTCACTAATGCAACTTAAAAGGTGAAACTAATATATGAGATAGACTCATTACATGCAAAGCAAGATAATTCAAGCCGTGATTTGTCATAATTGTGATGATTATGGCTTACAGCTCATGAAAACCCCAAGAACCCCAAATCCACAACCTCAAAAAAGTAGATTATTACATGCAATCAATAAAACAAGGATTGTACATAGAACAATATCGGACCTCTGAAAAGTACAAGCATGCATATGTACTCAGTACTTGGTTTGGGCCCCTTTTGCAGCAATTACTGCAATTACTTTTGCACGATATTCTAATTATTTGAGTTTCACCTGTACATGTGGAAATCTGACACTTCACACATGTGCCGTTTTTTCACTATAGTATCTGTGTGGCAGCGAGAGTGTGTAGGTATCAGAATTTTATCACATCCGTGTGTATGAGCCGGACACGTCTACGTTATAAAATATCATCCGGATTATCAATGGGGAAAAAAAAAAAAACACAAATAAAATGACGGAATCCCTCAAACATCTGATGTCACCTCAGCACTGCGGACCAGAAGATCTCCACAGTGATAACCGGACCGGCACAGCCACCAACACTCCTATGTCATGTCTAATACAACTCTCCATGTGATCTGCTGGGACTGAGCCATCCCCGGGACCATTTCCCGCACACAGTCCTGTCCACCACGCGCGTTGCCCGCACACAGTCCTGTCCACCACGCGCGTTGCCCGCACACAGTCCTGTCCACCACGCGCGTTGCCCGCACACAGTCCTGTCCACCACGCGCGTTGCCCGCACACAGTCCTGCCCAATGGCAATGGATCAGTATACCAGGGGATGTAAGTTACCGATTCCAGAGACAGGTCCTCTGCACTCAGGACAAGAACGGTGTCCAGGACTGTGATCAGATTAAGGAACGAGCACTGTGCCCAGGACTGCGATCAGCTAGTAGAGGGACAAGCACTGTGTCCAGGACTGTGATCAGACATCTAGCAGGGGGACCAGCACTGTGTCGAGGACTGTGATCAGTTGAAGAAATAGGTCACCAGCACTCAAGAGATTTAAAAATAAATAAGTCCTTTTTATTGGAGCATGGTGTCACAACAATCAAATAGAGCCGGGATTGCTGAAAGGTGTGCGGAGAGCACCTTCACCCTACTGCAACGAGGACTGTGATCAGACATCTAGCAGGGGGACAAGCACTGTGTCCAGGACTGTGATCAGACATCTAGCAGGGGGACAGGCACTGTGTCCAGGACTGTGATCAGACAGGGAGACCAGCACTGTGTCCAGGACTGTGATCAGACAGGGAGACCAGCACTGTGTCCAGGACTGTGATCAGACAGGGAGACCAGCACTGTGTCCAGGACTGTGATCAGACAGGGAGACCAGCACTGTGTCCAGGACTGTGATCAGACAGGGAGACCAGCACTGTGTCCAGGACTGTGATCAGACAGGGAGACCAGCACTGTGTCCAGGACTGTGATCAGACATCTAGCAGGGGGACAAGCACTGTGTCCAGGACTGTGATCAGGCGTCTAGCAGGGCCACAGTCCCTGTGCACAGCTGTCATGCCGCCCAGACATGCAGATCGCTGGCTGGGAGTAGGGATCGCTGCCTGTCTGGGAATTTCACGGCAAGAGGCGGCTCATCACCCTCCCCAGCCACACCGCCTCCCCTCCCCCCTGGGGCAGCAGCTTACCGAGCTTTCCCCGGGAATCCTCCAGCTTCTGGATCTGGTTCTCCAAGAAGAGCATCGCGACCCCGAAGGTCAGCACCGCCAACAGCTGCAACTTGGGCGGCATCATAATCCTGAGCAGCCCCATCAACCTGATCTATGGCGACATAACGCGGGCATCGGGATCTGTGAGGACGGGCCACGCGACTCACACACGCCCGCCAGGCTCGTTCCGCGGAGAAGGAGATGAGGAGGAAGGCACAGCGATATGCAGCGGATCCAGCGTGATCACCTCACAGTGCACACTGACTCGCCGCCGCTCCTCCAGCTCTAGCCGCAGCAGCAGCGCCAGCCCACAGCGTAATACGTCATATTTCCACGCCCTCAAACGCGTGACGCCTAGCGTCTTCCTCTCGTCTGCGGGTAACCAGGCAACCGGATTCAGCTACTTTCCACGATCTGATTGGCTAGTACAGTTGAAGCCCTACGTTCTCCGAGTGGCCCATATTTAGCTGTCTTCTCAAGTGCCTGAAAAATATATAACTAGAGACTTTGAAACTGAATAAAATAAAAGAAAATACTTTTTCTTTTACAAATGTGAAATTAATACGTTCTATTATCCCTCCGATAGAAATGTATTTCTCTATGGCATAGGATTTTAAACAAACACAATGTGCATTTTTGCTATGTTTTCGTAACTGCCTGCTGCAGTGATACCACAACCAGGTGAATACATGAAGAAACTGGCCTGGGTTTTATCCGCAATAATTTTATATTTTTTTCCGGCAGTTATATAGTAAGCCGCTGGGGTCCTTGCAGCCAGTCACTCAGTAGTGCCGGGAGGAAAGATGGTGGCAGAGCGGTTGCTGCTGTGTGTGGTCGCGGCGTTACAGGCGGTAAGTGTTAATGAGGCTTCTTCACACTCAGCAGTATGGCGGTGTAGGTGTGTGCTCATACTGAGTGAGGGGGCTGTTGTATTCAGGACGGAGTGTGGCGGCTTCCCGGGCCTTGGTGTACAAGGGTGACGTGGCTTTAGGCTGTTTCCTGTTAGGTGAAGCTCGCATCCTGCTCCTACAGGCACGCTCACAACTGAAAGTGCAACTAGGCCAGAGCAGAGGGTACCGACAATGAGACCTCTATAGACAGTGTATACATACATACATGCATAAATCCACCCCTCTACAAATCGGGGATAAACCCTACCTGAATAACGTGTAGCTTGTTGAAGCACTGCTTCAGTAGTATACGGTACATATATTATATATATTCCCATAGCATAAGTAAAACAAAATGCTGCTTACCTTTTTTATTTTGCCAAAAAATCCTATAAAACTTCTTAACTCCCTTTCTTTTGGAGGGGGCTGATACAATACATCAGGATGCATGCCATAGTGATCTTAATATTTTTTTAGTATTCATGGAGATAATAATCCATGTAATAGGCATACATTGTGATACGGTGACTGACAGAAGAAAAAATAAAAAAATTGGTACACAAATATTGAAATTGCACATTGTAGATATTTCATTGTAATGACGCACATAAATGAGCATAGTACACAGACAAAACACATTTTTAGTACAGCAAGAGCCCATTCACAGCAGGGCGGCTGCAGATCAGTGCGGTTTCCACTCTGATTTTGAAGGGGAGGTTTTGGCAGTTTTTAACCACCTCCGGGCCGGCCGTAGTAAAAAAACGGCCGAACCTGGTCTTGAAGTGGTTAAAGCTTTATGGAAACTGCACTGATCAGTGGAGTAAAAAAGGATCAGGAAGCAGTTCGGATCAGTCGCATGAACGGTCCCCGTAGCAATGTATTGGATCGTTCATGTTGGCGGATCTGCGCGGCCGAACCGCCCCGGTGTGAACGGGGCCTGAGGGAGGAATACATTTGTTACAAATGCTTCAGTTGCTGTCCTGGCCTTTCTGTCCCAGGGACAGACATATCTCCATTTATTTGGGCCTCACAGGGACCAGAAGTGCAGGAAAATCTCAACTGTGAGATCACAAACAAGTAACAACCTGATAGAATTAATCTAATCTATTTTCAAAACAAAAAAAATCTCTGGCATTAGGCTGGGTTCACACCTGGGTGTTACTATAGGCGTGCTTTTTCAGCTCGTCTTTAGCACGTCTTTTAGTTCAGTGAAACGCGCGTTCGGCGCTCGTTGTTATACCTCCCTGGCGGTATGATTTTATTATTTTCCTTGGAGCCTTAATAATTCACAGAGAATCTTCTTTTTATTGTGTAGGAGTTGTACTTTTCTGCCATAACTCCCATTTCACCTTTTATTGATGTGGCGCTCACCACTCTGAAACTAGATGATCAGCCTGTTGCTTCTATCAGTGCTAACCCCAGTCTTGGGTCATTTAAAGCAGGGCTGGACAAATCCCGGGAGCCAGATAGCCAATGCTCCTTCAAAATTACAGCCGGTGCCCAACTTTTGTGGTTTTCTCTGGTTGTTGTTGTTGTCAATGGAGCTGGCTCCTAAAATTCATCCTGCTGGCCCCTGAATTCTGTATTAATTTGTCCACCTCTGATTTAGAGCCCCTACCAGACTTTCCTGGTGCATCCACTATTTCAAGCTTCCTCTATGAAGATTGGAAACACCCTGACAACATTTTTGCTCTCCCTCAACACTTATTTGCCTTGTGTTTGTTTAAAAGTGATCTGTCCCCACTGTGAATTTGGTATTGTCCCACATAACAAGGCAACCACCATTCAGGTGGAGAGTCTTTAACCCCTTCGTGACTGACGACGTACAGTGTACGTCGCCAGCATCGGGGCTGTTTACACAGACTCCCGGCGACTTTTGCCGCCGGGACTCTGTTTAAACTTGTAGAGCCGACTGTCGGCTTTACAACAGAAGCGATTCTGGCGACTTACCTGTCGCCAGATCGCTTCTGTGTCCCGAAGAA